GAACACTCTCAAGAGTATCATCCGCATTTGCAACGAAACTCGTGATTTGCCGTTTGCGAATGCTTTGAAAGCTTTTGAATACTTATCGGAAATTTATTGGGCCTCCTCCTCCTCCTCCTCTGTCTCCGTCTCCATCTCCATCTCCAGGTATTCAAACGACTTCATTTGCATTTGGAGTAGCTCTCTTTACGTTCGTTTTTAAGACCTGTTAAGTACGTTCCGAGTAAATAATGACTACGGGAATATGCCACATAAATACAAGTTTTGTGGCACATTTCATCCACACAAAAACCGGAAAAAAGGCAATTTAGATTAAGTCAACTTAATTAGGGTTATTAATTAGCACAAAGTTGTCCGTGCTCTGCTCTGCTCTGTACTGCTGAGGCATCTGCCTCAGGTGTTTGGCACACCCACCCACACCCACATCCAGATACAGATACAGATACGACACATGAGGCAGGGGACAGGGGATTTGGGATAGGGGATAATAAGTCAGCTGCAGGGCAGGGTCGTTGTCTACAAGGATATACTCGTAAACCTGATCGGAGCTAAGCATCAACCTGAGCCGACTGACGGCATGGACGACATGGACGACAAGGACTCGGAGCCGCATAATTACATGAACATTGTTGCATGTTGTACGCTCCTGGAAATATGCTTATGGCCGTTTATGCTGATGCTCTTTTGTCCCATTTGCGTGGGCTGTGCGGAGCGGCCTTGATGCCCCAGCAAGCTGGGGGCTGTAACTGTAACTGCGCGCCTCAGTCCTGTCTGTCTGTGTGTCTGCATGGCTTCCCGTTCGCAACCTCAAGCGCCCTTCACTGCCACACAAAGCCCAAGCACACATGGAGCACAGACAAAAGCGCAACAAAACAGCGGCATGAACATGACCCTTTAAACAAAAAGCGAATGACAACCAACACATAACGAACCAATGTGGCATAGATTTTAAGCAGAAGCAGAAGCAGAAAGCAGCCACGCTTATGGAAAGACGAACTCGGGGAGGCACTTAAGCGTGCCACAATAGCAACAGAAACCGACTCTCGGCTGAAGTCAACTCAAGACGGGACTGTGTCTGGTGTGGATCTTCAATTGCAAAACCGCAGAAACAGACAAACATTCCACACTGCCGCGCTGCCACACACACACACACACACACACACACACACACACGCCTCCACATTGACACTTTTACACATGTCCTTTTGCAGATTTGATGGGTGGAGTGTTGCTCGAATGAAGATGAAAGCTTGTCCTGTGGCGTTGCTTGTGTATTTAGTTACATTTGCAATATAAAATATTCATACATTTGCTTAGCAGCGAGTACTTTCACCGCTCACTGTTGCGCACCAAGCCGCACAGACTGGAAAACCGGATGCCACCAAGCCAAGCCAGCAACCGGCAGAGTCCGCTCTCTCTCTCTCTCTCCGTCTCTCATTCGTGGTGCGTGTGTGTCTGTGGATTTTATGGGGGCAGGGGGTGGCCTGGTCTACCCTTCATCTATGCACATTTATCTCCTCACATCTCGGGGTCTGGTCTTCACAATTTGCTTACATTTCACAATTTTCAACTTTCTCTCGAGCACAATTCAACATTTTCCAGAGCAAAGTCTACGGTCTGCACCCCTCGGCGCGCAGCCTTTCCACTTTCTATAGTTGCCATGATTCTGTGCTTGTGTGTGTGTGCTTTTGGTTCCCTTTTGAATTTTAGTTAAAAGTTTTTTCCACTCGGTTTGTTGGCCAAACAAATGCGTTCTGCGTTCTGCAGTTCGGCTGGAAAAAACACAGAGTCGCCCACTTTTCTATCAACGGCTTAACGACTCAACGACTGGGACAAAATTGTGAGGCACTGTACCCCTTTCAGCCAAAGCATCAAACATCAAACCTTGCCTAAACATTGAGGGGTTTCTTTGGGGGCAATTTTAATCACTCATAAACGGGTTTATATCTTTCGTTTCCTAGAGCAACGATTCCACGAAAACTAATAGACCCGCTCTACCCTGTAGAGAAGGGTTTTATGCGCCAGGGGAACCGGAATGAATAGGCCATTTACATAATAACTATTCCGCATGGAGGGCGACCGCAATAGAACATTAACTAATATCACCGACAGTTTCCAGCGGCAGCAGCATCCTTCCACAAGGGTCCGAAAAAGGGTTGCCGCTGCCCCATTTAAGGGATTTAAGAACTTAAATGTCAGCAGAATGGAAATGGAAATGATTTCATTAGATTAGTGAGGCATAGTTTGGGTGAACTTTAGCTCCGGAATGTGAAAAATTCAATTTAAAACATTCGATGAGATCCATATTTCCCTTAGGGCTGTGTGATTTATTGATTGCCTGATATCAACGCACAACCTTTGACAGAATATTACAACTGATTTGATTGAAAACCATACACAAATTTGGTTAGTTTCAATTCCATTTTTAGGGGAATGTGGCTGAAGGGAAGGCTGGGACTCGGACAGGGGCGGGAACGAGTAAATCGAGGGAGTTAAGCCAATACAGAAATTGCTATTCAATTAAATGTGGCTCGGGGGCAAGATCCACATTCAGCGGTATAACAAAGTGTTCTTTATGTGGAATTAATTTCAATGCAGGAGTAAATCTGCAAAAACGAAACGAGTATCAAATCGAATTATGCTAATTAAATGAGCAATGCACAAAACGAGAGAGAGAAGGCAGCAGGCAGCAGGCAGAAGGCAGCAGGCAGAAGGCAGCAGGCAGAAGGCAGCAGCCAGAAGTTGGCCAACTGGTTGACTTATTTGTGTCGCACGATTAAGCCAGGAGTCAGAAGCCGCTTTTATTTCATTTTTACCCTCAGAATTTTCCTCCCTTTTGATGGGCGACCGTTGGCCTCTTCCTCTCTTGGCCTCTTTTGGCCTTTTTGTAGTTGCTGGTTAACCGTTCGGGGCTTTTGTCCACCACTCGACACGCTTTTAATCCTAATTAATCCTTTTCCAGCGAAAAGTTTGACAGCCGGACTTAAAGGACAACCAAATACTTGAAAGTTGGCCCGAAAGTAAAATGTCGACATTGGCACCTTTTCGACTTGTCGCAAATTAACTCAATGGGCACGACACCCGCAGAAGAGCTGAGGAGGAATAATTTAATTATGCCCATTCCGCTCGACACGTTAACGGAGACCATCCATCCGTCCAGCAGTACTCTCCCAGGACTCGTGTGTGGAGGCGTTCTAAAGTCAGTATTTCCGCCTCACTCAACTCTTTTCAGGTAAAAGAAAACCTGTTCTACCGCTGTCTCATCGCCTGGAGTTTACTGGGGGGAATTACCACACCTATATGGTATGTGGATAGCCGTATGGATGGATGAACCACTGGGATCTGCGATGACTCTTGAGAATCCTGGCATCAGGGAACTATTTAAGCTGCTGGAAAACTTAAGGGGGCTTAAAGGAACTTACTTCTCTTTGTTCTTTTGTTGAACTGCAATTCCAATAATAATGTATACATTTCCGCATTTTCCATCCCAGCTTACAATGGTGTTTGTTTTTCTAATCCTCTTTCGCTTTGGTTTTCTTTGGGGCCTTTGAAATACAATATTTATTTGGCTATCCTGGGAGAATAATCCTTTATTTGTGATGGAAAGTGTTAAGAAAAGCAATTCCATTAAATTTTCATAGGATTTGTTTTCGAAAAGAGAACATTTTGTAATCATATAATCCTTGTTGAACACAAGGGTAATATTCACCATATAATCATCCAAAGATATATTATTAACGAACAATCAAGTTGTCACAACAAATCCCTCTATAAATGTTGAACTCCCTGAACTACTCGCACCATTAGCGCTTTGTCCAAATGGGCAGCCCTGACCCATTTCTATGGCCTCCCCTTTCGAGTGTCACGCGTGGCGTATGCGTAATGTGTGTTATTAAATTTATTTCTAATTGCCGTCGGCTCGTAACAGGTAACCGGGCTTGGAGTGGCCAACAGTACTTGTGTTGCTCCCTGAAAATACAAGTATTTGCGTGGCAACGTCCATGTGGCACCGGGCACGAGGCAACACCCGCCTGCGGTAGGCATTTTGCTGTATTATTATATAATCAATACACAAATTGGGGGCAAAGCAAAGCCAAAAGCCTTTAATTGAATTTCGAATCGGTAAACAATTCGGTTTTCGGTCAGAACCTCAGAGCTGCCACAAAAAGAGTCAACTTCAGTGCCACAAAACAAAACCAAAATACAATTTTGCTCTAAAAATAGCAAAGGAAAATGTTGGAAAAACTAAAAAAGGAAAACTCGAACACAACAGAAGAAAATTATAAAAAAAAAATGGAAAAACTACGGAAAGCGGTAAAAGGATATGTGCGCAGACAGAGGGAGTGGGAAATGGGAAAGCGGGGGGGCCGGAAGGCAGGGAAAGCAGTGGAATCAGGAGGACATGTGGCACAGCAAAATTTATGCGTTCGCAGGGAAAGCGACACAACCTCAGACAATAATTTTCGCCATGGGAGTCGAGCAAAAAACAAATTTAGGACGAGAGCCAAAGCCAAAGCGAATCGGGCCACGTTTTATGCTATCCCCTTTATCTTTCTACTTCCTTTTTGCTCCCTTTTTCGTGTGTTGTTTCCGTCGAAAAGCCACGGGAAAAGTGGTGAGGTGGGGAAGCTTCTCGGGGGGAGAGGCAAGCCAAGTAAACGTGGCCAAAACTTTGCGAAATCGCGACTCAAAGTGGCTAAGACGGATAAGCGCCGCACAAAACGGCAACCGATGAACTTTTCCCCCGTGCTTGTGCTCGGTACTTTCTTCCAATATCTTGTCGGTAGTTTTTCCGTGTATCTAAAAGTCTCACGACAGCTGCAGCGGCACCAGCTTCCAGGACATGGCGTACAGGTTGTTTTCTGACCATGTCATCCGTTTTCGATAGCTAAAGTTTACAACTATTCTTTTTTGAGGGACATCTATAAATAGATTTTCTTCCAAAACTATCTCTCCCTCTATCGATGCAATCTAATATACGTATACGTAATATGACTTACCAATTCTGTTTTTGCCTTTGATTTGTTGGGTGAGTCGTCTGTAAACGAGCAGAGGAAATGCATTTCAATCTATGAAAAGTTATAGGCATTGTAAATAGATTATAAATAATCTCAGAATCTCAAATTAGCTGAGGCAGGCGTGATCTTGTGGGAGAAAATAGGGGCGATATTTTTGAACGCGTCAGATCGAATTAGAGTCAGTTTTATCTATCATTCAATTGCTATCTCAACCTTTCGCTCCCTCTGAAGCTGCCACTGAATCAATAAGCACAAATGGAATGGTCTCCAGGGCAACGACAGCGGGGCGTTTAAATAAATGAATTGCTGATTAAATAAAGTTGGACAAAGACGGAAGGCAGGACATGCGAAATGACAGGACAAAGACGGAAGGCAGGAAAGGCAGGAAAGGCAGAAAAGGCAGCAAAGGCAGGACATGCGGCATGACATATGAGGGAATGGGAAATGCTAACAAACAACGAAATGAAATGCAAAGAATGCCCAAGAATTTGTGGAACAAAATAAACTTGTAAAAATGGGCCAAAGGTTGTGGGGATTTCGTAAAGACAATGAGAGAATCATAGACAGAGAATGAGAGGGGCAGAGGGAGAGAGATAGAGCATTGGGACAAGGTTAAACCAGATGCCGACGCGACCAGCGAAATGTGCGCAGAGACACCATTTTATGGCCAATGATGGAGGACACCGCCGGACGCCGGACGCCGGACGCCAGGCGTAGAGCCTACGCCGAGAATGAAGGAACAATAACAAAAACAAATACACGTACATATGTATGTCCTCGCACAAAAGCCAATGAACGTCATTCAACGGCAGACACTGGAGGGACGAGGGTAAAGCCAGAGGGGAGACCGGGCACGTGCCGCGAAAAGAGTGTGAAGCGAAAGAGAAAACAAACGGCCGAGTAGCTGGAAGTGCATGCCGCATGGCGGAGGGGTAATCGGCCGCGGCGGGGACTATTTATAAGCGCCGGCCGCACCAAAATCGGGACTCCATATACCATATAAACCCGTGCGACCTTAACCTTCCCCGCATTACATAAAAAATACAAACGAGGGGATTCCCACGAGATTCGAAATGTTGGTGGGGTCGGGTGTGTGGGGCCAAAGACAGGTACGGTGGGGCACTTTAAAAGCTTTTAGGCGGCAGAAGGCTCTCTCTCTCTCTCTCTGCCATTCATATCCTTCTTCACTTAGCTAATACAGTTTTTCGTCTAAAGCGAATTGGGTTCTTTATTAGCTAAAGTGTGACTTTGAATAGAGATTGCGACAACTTTGAAAGCTGAATAAGTATAAAATGAATGAGGAAAGTTGGGTTTTATCTTGGATCAATGAGGATCAATTATCCATTGGATATAAATTCCAAATATCGCATTTGAGTGCATTGAATGTAAGAAAAGGTAAACTCAGCGATATTTTAGGGAAATTATCCATAGCATACTAAATTCGGATATATTTATAATTTTTATTCATCAAAATATTTGGAGTAACTTGATAGATGGTCCCTGAAATTGTTCTATACTTAGTTTCAGCTAACAAAAACGAAACAATGATGTTTTTCTACTGCAATCGAGTTGTAAATGAAATAATAATCTTGGTAGACTTAATAATAAATAGTTTAAAAGTTATCCAATGAGCAATGCCCACATATCATTATAGAAAGTCGATAATTAACCTAATTGGAGTACTCAAAAGTTGTCAAAAGTGGAATTTATTGCCCTAAGACTCTAAGCTACTATCCGGAATTACTTTTCTCAAACCTTAAAAACAGCAACACAATCTCTTGTTCCCAAAAAACAGCGAGATAGAGCCAGGGAATACAATGGCCAGAGAGTAACAATAACAAACAAATAAGTCAATAAATTTGACAACATTTTTTGTAAAATCCTCAAAGGAAAGACTCGCCAGGGGTGAGTGGCAGAAGTGATGCCATTAAAATGAAGTAAAAGACTTGCCCTGGCAGTGGTCTGGTCGTTTGGGGCAAGTGTAGCCGGGATGTAGGTGGGGTCCATCTCCCTGGATGCGAATGAACCGTTGACAAAGTCAATGCTAAAAAAAAGGAGAAAGAAAAGCAGAAACCTAATGGATTTCACAGACACTTTGGCAGGCCGTCTGGCGGGACTCCAAGAAAAAGGGCAACCCAAGGAAAGTAGCGCGCGTGAAAAGCGGGAAAATGCGTGAAAGCAGGCGGCAGCACTCCAAGTAATTTGCCTTAGGTATTGCACGTCACAGAAAAGTTTGTGTTTTACTTTTTGGCGGTGCGGGGGAGGGGGCTGTGATGCTGAATGTGCTCCCCAGAGGCAACCGCAACAACAAAAAGTTGCTAAAAAGTAAGGTTGCCGCCGCTATCGTCGCACCTACCCTCCCCGGCGAATGCTAATACTGCTATCGCTACACACTACCCACAACACACAACACACTCCCCTCTCCACCCCACGAATAACACTCGTATTCGTATGACATTCAAGGGTAAAATATTTTATAATTCGCACATTTCGGGGGGATTTGGGGTCCGGGCCGCGTTCTGCTTTACATTCGAGATACTAATTTGTGTGTTTGTGGGTGTATCTGTGTGCGCTGTGTTCTCTGTTGTGGGCCTCGTCAGACTGTGTGCGTATTTGTGTTTGGTTTTTGGTTGGATTGTTTACTCAGCACTCAGCTGAGAGGCCCAGAGGCACAACACTCAGACCCCCACACTCACATTGAGCTTTTACGCTGAGTTCAAATGCATTCACATTCACATTCACTTTGGCGTTCTCTTCTTGTTGTTTTTCCGAGTTCTGTGTTTTTGTCGCGTTTCGTTGTTGCGCTGCTGGCTGATAACACGCGCTGGCAAGCGGCGCTACAGCCGGCGGTGGCAAGAGGGCACTGACAGGCGGTCGGGCGGACTGGTGGCCGGGTGATGGGCGGGTGGTTGGTGGCGACAACGGAGGCAAATTACTTTGCACTGCACTTGACAACACAACAACTACTATAACTAATATAATACTATATACCAAGAACATACGTACTATAATTTAATTTACGCGCCAGTTGGAATGTTTAGTTTTTTGATTTGATACGAGATTCCGCTGGCTGTTTGTTTGTTTCTCACATTGATTAGACCAGGCTGGTCCAGGGGTTTTTGAGATGGATTTCTCTGTTCGATTGGTATTATGCAAAAACAGTTTGATTCACTTTTTTCCCTCTGTGCTGTGCTGTTCCGTTCTTTTGGGTTTTACAACCGGCGGCAACACGCGCACACACGCACGCACACCGCCTTGTGGCAGCTGGGCGGCAGGACGGGGGGCAAGAGGCGTGGCGTGGCGTGGCACTGGACGAGGCCGGTGGGCGGTGTGACGACTGTCCCGATTTCCGACGCAACACAACCCACGAGCTTCGAGCTTTGCACAGCGCGACGACAACTTTAGCACTGGGAGAATAATTCTGTGCGGGACACTGTCCCCAAAAAGCTGGCAGGCGCTCTCCCTCTACCTTTCTCTCTCTCTCTATCTGTCTGTCTGTCTGCAGCGTATTGGAGCTTTGAACGCGCTTTGGTCGCTGCTGCTGCTGCTGCTGCTTTCAGCGCTTCTTTTCGCTGCTCCAGTTCGCTTTGGCGCCCGACAACAACTGAAACGCTGCCTTGGTTGGCGCTTAGCAGCAGCCAGCAGCAGCAGCTGACATTCGGCTTTGTTTACTGTTATTTGGCGCAAGCTTTCTGCTTTCTATCTCTTTCTTCGGCAGGCGAGCGCTTTTCAGTGGCTTTCACGCATTTCTGTGGCTTACAGTGCTTCCAAATTTATGTGATTCTTGTGGTGTTATATTCCACTAAAAAAACTACCTGATGCAAAAGTTATAGGAATTATGAGTGTTAAGGGATATATTTGTTTGTTAATTCTTTGGATCCTTATGGATGGATTAATTCTGAAATTGTAATAAAGAAAACGGTAATAGTATTTGATCATAAAGCCATGCCTAAATCGTAAAAAGTAGTGGCTTTTTTCAATAAAATAACCAATTTTACAATGTAATTTAATTCAACAAAAAGATACACAATCAGGGCACATATTTCCCAACATATCTGCCAGACTCTAGCACCACTGTGCAGCCCCTCGTTCAGCGCAGGCGCCATCTGAGGAGCCTCGTTCGGATGTCGAACTATAAAGCCGAATAGTTGTTGCTAGAACGGAGGTTCGAAACTGAATCTTGGGAAGCGAAGCCATGACATTGGAACAGCCAAAGAGAAATGTTAGTAGTGAAAAGGAGTAATCGTAGACTACTTTTGGGGTGCTTGGAAAACGATAATGTGGGAGAACATGGAGGAGATTGCCGCGTCGGAATCAGAGAAACTCGTTCACTTTGGTTGCCTCTGTCGGTGTCGGTGTGGCGGTGGCCTCAGCCTCCCCCCCTTCATCGTTCTGCTGGTCATCCTCCTCCTCGGGGTCTTCGTCCTCTTCCGGTTCCGGTTGGTGTTCCGCCACATGTACGCCATCCTCGCAGACGGCCAGCGATTTGCGCTCCAGCAGCGGACGCGGCAGGCGGGGCAGAAAGGCCGAGCAAAAGGTCCCAATGGTCTCGCAGTGACCGGGCGCATTGGTGACCACAAACGCACAGGTCTGGATGATGTCATGTGGAGTATTGTCCATATACCGGAACACAATATGATGCTCCTCGATTTCTCCGCGCCTAACCACTTTTCCGTGCAATCTGCCCGGAGGGGGAAAGCCGCAATTAACGAATCGGAATGCGCAAAGCGTGCAAATTGGTGTCTCACCCGACTGGCTCGCCGGGAATCTTCATTTCCAGCTCCTCATATTTGGCTAGGACATAGTCGAAGCGCTCTTTGGCATCTGCCACCTCCATCTGTGGGAATTTGGGTGAATGTAGTTGAAAAATAAATATTTCCGGGGCATAGTACTCACATCTTCAATGCAGTGGTCCATTGGCGGAACGCATAGGGAACCCTGTCATAGGGTGGAACAGTCATTAAAGTAACCTTAATCTACGATTTGCCGACTTACCCCCAGACCAGCCATCGATGTAAGCCCCAGGCTGAGTAGCAAGCAGCTCCACAATTCCATGGCTAATCCGCTCACTGATCAGCAACGACTAACCGCAGCCAATGCCGCTGGTCAGCAGCGGCAGTTCGGCAAAGCTTCAAATATGAATAGTTATTATTCATTAGGTCCGGTCCATTGTTCTCGCTCCGCTTCAGAGTAAGATGTGACGTCACGATAATTATTCAAAAAGCAATTCGAGTACGAAACAAATATGCTCGTGGCATGGCAAAAACTCTCACGCAAAGCCGTAAATTCCCTTACACTCGTAGTATTCGTACACCATTCAAATGGGTGCTGTAACTCGCTTCAAGCGAATGAGAGTTCTCCAAAAAACGAAACGATATATTCAACTTTAGAAATATGTAAACACAGCCAATAAATACTCAAAATAAATACGAGTACTCCATTTATTTACATTCCGACTACGCAAATTTCATTGCAAATAATAGCAGAACGAAATTGCATTCATTATTGTAAAAGTGTATGTTTGGAAACAAAGCACAAGCTGCCTAAAGTTTGTGCCTAATTAGTGAAGATCCAGTGCAATCAGCTTGAGCGGGGCTATAAAAGCGTTGTGTCTGTCAGTGGGTATTATTGTTCAGATCAGATCGCCAGCATGAGAGCCATAGCGCTGTGGAGCTGGACCCTGTTGGCCATTTGTGGCATGGTCTCCTTGGGCAGTGCTGCGACTGGAACTACTTCCAGTTCTAGTTCCACCAGCTCCCCTGGTGTAAGTTCTAGCTCCACCTCATCAACCGGCATCAGTTCCAGTAGCACCCCTTCAGCCGCCATTCCGAGCCCCTCTTCTACAACTGAAGCCTCAGCGAGTGTCTCCGCTCCAGCAGCATCCATCAGCAGTTCCAGTGTAGACTCCTCCGCAGCGGCCACTAGCAACACTGCTAAAAGGAAGGCAGCGGCCAGAAGGAAAGCAGCGGCCAGAAAGAGGGCTGCCAAATGGAAGGCCATCAGAAGGAAGGCCGAAAGAAAGAGGGCCGCCAGAAGGAGGAACCGATGGAGACAGCGCCAATGATCTGTAGATATCCTATCAGTAAATTTCTACATCGCATACAAACACAGTATGAAAACCTAGTTTAAAAGAGACCATAGAATAATTTTAAGCGTTCCTTCTATCACCTTCCCTTTTACTTAGATTATCACTTACCATTCTTCCATTTCACACTCTATTCCGTTGGTTAGGAGGATACATTAATTGGCCGGGATCTCTTTAACCTTTCGTAGGAAATATGTGCATTCCAGTGGCCTTCACTTGCAATCAGTCTATTTAACCGTGCTTTTCAGACATTTTAATTCTCCACATCGTCCATTACAATACAAATAATATGCTGAACCATTCCAAGCACAAAAGTATATTCAACTCTAAAGATAAACAGCAAAGTGGGACTCTACGCAAATTTCTATGCAAATATTACGATAACCAAATTATACTTCTTCAGCTTGGTGGTGCCTAATAAATTGTGGGCTCCGGTGAAAGATCCAGTAAGATAAGGCTATAAAAGGAATGCATCTGGCAGATTATTGTTCAGATCAGCTTTAGCTGTGAAAGAATGTCACTATGGGAGCCATAACCATGTGGAGTTTGACATTTCTGGTTATTTGTGGGATGGCCTTTGGCAACGCTGCGAACATTCCAGTGGTTCCCACTTTAAGTGTCACTAATTCAACAGTAGACAGTTCCAACACCACTTTTCCAACGGATATCAGCATTAATCTGATTGGCCCCTTGATCAACGCTTCTGCCGTGCTGGGGCCCAGCGGATTATTGGCCAAAATAACCACCAACAACTTTGCCCTTGGTTACAGCACCGCTGATTTTGTCCTGCACACAGCCGTGAACGATGGCCAGGATTTCAGAGGCTCCATATTCGTACGTCCTTCGGACCAATTGGATCTAGGAGTGCTATTGTCATGGGCCATCGGCAGCAACAATACCAAATTTGCCCTTGGGGCCAACTATTTTTAGCTGATTAACGACATCCCAACAGGCCCAGGTATAACAAAAACATAAATAAAATTGAAGAACCCCAACAAGTAAAACCACAACTCAAGTCCACTTCCCCATTACCACTCGTGACGTTAAGGCTGTCCTGCTTGAGCCATGGCCGGGAACAGATCTTGACGGTACAGGTCGTCTTTTCCGATATGGTTTACAGTTCCACCTCATTGTAGGTACAGACAGTCCCAGTCACAATCTGGCCCGTCACTCTGCCAAGGGATGTGGCCCTGATATGGATAAAAAACGAAAAACAAACAAATTAGCTATAAAACTCTTTCAGGTAGTATGGTTCTATCGCCAGGCCAGTACAAGGCCAACAGGCTGAAAAATGTTATTCCGTTCATTAGAGATGTGCGAGAAAACTGATTCAACAGCCCAAAGCATGCTCATTTTACTTATCCGTCCACCCAAAGATTAAAAATGAAACCTAGTCATAAAAATACACCATATTACATTAAAAACTCTTAGAGCCTCATCTCTATCAGCACAAGGGTTTTTTGATTTCCTATGGCATAGTTTCATCAGCTTACAACAAAGAAGGAATTCTGGGAAAGGGGAAGCAATGTTTACTCTGGAATACACACCGATTCTCTAGAATAATGGCATTTATATTTGCGAATCTTATTAAACAATTTCATAAATATCTAGGCAAATAAGAAAATCGTTTTCTAACAATGAATCTAGTTCAGGGAATGTTTCCCAGTAGTTCCCCGAATTATTCTGGTTTCTCTAAATTGTGTTCTTAAAACTTTCCTTCAATTATATCCTATGAAAAATCTGAAAGTAAATTATTCCTTGATATCCAATAGTTATGGAATAGTTTGTATAAAACCATATCACAGGTTCCTCTTAGGTAAGGAAATCACTCAGATCGCCATAGGTGTGTTAAGCAATAGGAACCCCAAAGAGTTATCTTTTTCCAACCTTTTTTTTCGATCAAAATGTTGATCTATAAGCCAGGTGTTGATCTATAACTATGTATATCACTGTCTTATAATTTCCTGCTAACTCAATCAGCAAATCGCAGATTATATATTGATAAGGAAGTCTCGCTGCCATAGGAACATGTGATAACGGGTGACTTCTGTCTGTTGGGCCTGATAGTCATGAGCTGTATACGCCTTAGTAGCAGCATAGTAGCATAGTAGCATTGCACTCAAATATCTCATAGAACAGTATTATAAGTTTTTCAATCATTTGAGTGGCTCACTAATGTAGATCTATATATTTTTTATCTTTCCTTAAATCTTTGGCTATCTAAATGAGCCTCTAGAAAAATTATCCCTATAATGATTGTCATTCAGAAGCTCGGCTATTTACTTTTATACCCGGTACTCAAAATGAGTATAGAGGTATATTACATTTGTACGTCGAGAAGGAAGCGTTTCCGACCCGATAAAGTACATATATTCTAGATCAGCATTAATAGCCGAGACTATTGAGCCATGTCTGTGTGTCCGTCCGTCCGTCCGTCCGTCCGTCTGGATCAGATCGGATCATTATTATAACCAAACCAAATCAATTTTCAGTGACTAAGCGGAGCCCGACGACACTTACTGACTGATTTTCTGACTCTCTCGCACGCACTCTTTGTCCTGACGTTCAATATTATCGGCATCTGCCGGAGGAGAGCCATACTGACTATCGGGTATAAATGTAGAGTTGCGGTCGCAGCAGCAGCTCACAACGTTCCCCCTCGTTTATTATTTTTTCAGTACCAAATACAACAAATTATCATCCACCCTCACACGAAAATGTTGTTTGAATTTAACATCTGGCCCATCAACCATATCGCAGAACCAGGCGTTAATAAAGGCTCTCTTAAGAGTTGAAATTAGAGCCAAATCTCTTTAAGCAATATTCACATACCAAATGTATTTCAAACGAGGGGGAACGTTGTGAGTTGCTTCGGAGACCGCAACTCTACGGTTATACCCGATACTAAGTCAGTATGGCTCTCCTCCAGCAGGCGGCGTCTAATATTAAACGACACGACAAAGAGTGCGTGCGAGAGAGACAGAAAATCAGTCTGAGCGTGACGTCGGGCGCTGCGTAGCCACTGCAAATTGATTTGTTCCTTTTGGCTATAAAAATGATCTGATCTGATCCAGATTCAGCAACCTGATAGATATGGTCATTATTTATGATTCTGCGTTTTTAGTTTTCTCGAATGTGCAATATTGTGGATGCAACAGATTTTCGTCCTTTGCGGGGGCGGAAGGGGGTGTGGCGAAATTTTGAGATATACGTTTTATAGTGAGATCTAACAGGAGTGCGGATATTAAATTTGGTTACTCTAGCTTTAATAGTCTCTGAGATTTGTGAATATCCCCAGATTTGCATCCTTTGCGGGGGCGGAAGGGGGTGTGGCGAAATTTTGAAACAAACTCGTCTCGGTCCGATATATTAGGAGTGTGGATACCAAATTTGGTTGCACTAGCTTTTATAGTCTCTGAGATCTAGGCGCTAATGTTTTACTCTAAGCAAAGCCGCCTATGCTACGTGTGTGTTAGAGAGAGACAGGGCGAGAAAAAATGAAATTGTTTTCTTGATGCTGGCTATAATAATAATACGATCCAATTCAGATTCCGCAGTCTAAAAGATATGGTCATTCTCTACGATTCTGCGTTTTTGGTGTTCTCGTATCTTTAAAATTGTGGATGCCACAGATTTTCGCCCTTTGTGGGGGCGGAAGTGGGCGGGGCAAAGTTTTGAAATATTTTTGTAGCAGTGACATATCACAGAAGTCTGGATCCAAAACATCGTTGCTCTAGCTCTTATAGTCTTTGAGCATTAGGCGCTGAAGGGGACGGACAGACGGACAGACGGACGGACGGACAGACGGACAGACAGACATGGCTCAATCGACTCGGCTATTGATGCTGATCAAGAATATATATACTTTATGGGGTCGGAAACGATTCCTTCTGGACGTTACACACATCCACTTTTACCACAAATCTAATATACCCCAATACTCATTTTGAGTATCGGGTATAAAAACTTGTGCACGTGTTTGTATCTGCCAATATTTGGTGAACTCTTTGCAAATAATCGATAAAAGTGAAATTCGGTAGAAGCAGCTGAGCAAATTTACTATCATTTTTGGATAAGCGATCGGCTTTGAATCGAATGACTATAAAAGGCATTCTATCCAGTGGAACATCTATCAATCGTACAATTGACTTTCTTACAATGAGAGTCAAATCAAACATCTTCGCCTGGGCCATAGTCCTGTTCGCCTGCCTGCTGAGGAGCAGTGAGGCAGTCACCTGTACCGCCGATCCCACTGTAACAGGATGTATTGACTGTACCACCAGTCCATCGGATGCAGAGTGCGTGGCAGAAGCAGCGAACGAAACCACCTCTACTGTGGCTCCCGTAGTATCGACAACTCCGGCTACCGCTGCGGGCGGTACAACTCCTTCCACTGCCGCCACTGGTGCGACCACCCCTGCGGCTGGTTCCGATGTCGCTGACACAGACAGCACCACAAGCAGCACCAGCAGCGGCAGCAGCGGCAGCACCAACAATGCGGCTGCCGCCAGGAGGAGGAGGAATCGTCGTCGTCGTCGCCAGCGCCAGCGCGCCGCTAGGAGGAGGGCAGCCAGGAGGCGCGCAGCCAGGAGGAGGAACAACAGGAGAGGTTAAGCGAGAGATGTACATCTCATCCTGAATTTTAGATACCCTTTCCCAAGGATACAACTTGAATAAACTGACATATTGCATATCCAAATAAGAGTGTGTTTTATTTAGGGTTCTTAAACATTAATCAAAAAGCTACAAAGCCAATAAAAGCTTTATTGTGCACAAACGGGATGCTACAGAATATTGACACGTGTGCATCCATATCTTTTACTAGGCTGTTGGTCTTAGGGAATGTTTTGGATCGCATAATTCTAAGCAACAATTCAGGGAATACACTTCTATGCCGACCTATGCTGACAAGATAGGGCCTTGCCGATCGCTGCTATGGGGCTTTATTAAGCAATATCTACCTAAATATTTATCATTTCGTATCATCAAAATCTCTCTTCACATACTTTTACGTAGCACACTTGATCGTGTGAGTGTGGGAAGACCTGCCCTACAAAGACATATCGACCCATTTTCTCTTAAAAGCAATTAACTAAAATCTCTTTTAAATTAGAGAAGCACATACAAAGTATCGTACCTCTGTCTATTACGCGTAGTATATCTTCGATATACGCACTCTCAAAATATTAAAAAAAAAACCATAATTTGGTTAAAACAACTGTGCAAATTTGCCAATAATCTTTGGATAGGCGGGGGTTATAGAATCGAATGACTATAAAAGGCAATCTTTGGGAAGATCTCTCATATATAAAGACCTTGAGGGCACGATGAGAGTGAGTGAGCTCCCCTGCTGAGGAGCAGTGAGGCAGTCACCTGTGCCGCCGATCCCACTGTAGCAAGATGTATTGACTGTACCACCAGTCCCACCGATGAGGAGTGCGTGGTAGAACCAGCGGCCTTCACCACCACACCTGTCCCGATAACCAGCAGACCTCTTCCGATAAAACGGTCGATGGGCTGGCATAAATACATACGCTTTTAACTTTTTATACCCGATACTCAAAATGAGTATTGGGGTATATTAGATTTGTGGTAAAAGTGGATGTGTGTAACGTCCAGAAGGAATCGTTTCCGACCCCATAAAGTATATATATTCTTGATCAGCATCAATAGCCGAGTCGATTGAGCCATGTCTGTCTGTCCGTCTGTCCGTCCGTCCGTCTGTCCGTCTGTCCGTCCCCTTCAGCGCCTAATGCTCAAAGACTATAAGAGCCAGAGCAACGATGTTTTGGATCCAGACTTCTGTGATATGTCACTGCTACAAAAATATTTCAAAACTTTGCCCCGCCCACTTCCGCCCCCACAAAGGACGAAAATCTGTGGCATCCACAATTTTAAAGATACGAGAAAACAAAAAACGCAGAATCGTAGAGAATGACCATATCTTTTAGACTGCAGAATCTGAATTGGATCGTATTACTATTATAGCCAGCATCAAGAAAACAATTTCATTTTTTCTCGCCCTGTCTCTCTCTAACACACAGGTAGCATAGGCGGCTTTGCTTAGAGTAAAACATTAGCGCCTAGATCTCAGAGACTATAAATGCTAGAGCAACCATATTTGGTATCCACACTCCTAATATATCGGACCGAGACGAGTTTGTTTCAAAATTTCGCCACACCCCCTTCCGCCCCCGCAAAGGATGCAAATCTGGGGATATTCACAAATCTCAGAGACTATTAAAGCTAGAGTAACCAAATTTGGTATCCGCACTCCTGTTAGATCTCACTATAAAACCTTTATCTCAAAATTTCGCCCCACCCCCTTCCGCCCACACAAAGGACGAAAATCTGTTGCATCCACAATATTGCAGATTCGAGAAAACTAAAAACGCAGAATCATAGAGAATGACCATATCTATCCGGTTGCTGAATCTGGATCAGATCAGATCATTTTTATAGCCAAAGGAAACAAATCAATTTGCAGTGGCTACGCAGCGCGTGACGTCACGCTCAGACTGATTTTCTGTCTCTCTCGCACGCAGTCTTTGTCGTGTCGTTTAATATTAGCGGCGTCTGCCGGAGGAGAGCCATACTGACTTAGTATCGGGTATAACTGTAGAGTTGCGGTGTCCGCAGCAACTCACAACGTTCCCCCTCGTTTTTATACCCGATACTCAAAATGAGTATTGGGGTATATTAGATTTGTGGTAAAAGTGGATGTGTGTAACGTCCAGAAGGAATCGTTTCCGACCCCATAAAGTATATATATTCTTGATCAGCATCAATAGCCGAGTCGATTGAGCCATGTCTGTCTGTCCGTCTGTCCGTCTGTCCGTCCGTCCGTCTGTCCGTCTGTCCGTCTGTCCGTCTGTCCGTCCCCTTCAGCGCCTAATGCTCAAAGACTATAAGAGCTAGAGCAACGATGTTTTGGATCCAGACTTCTGTGATATGTCACTGCTCCAAAAATATTTCAAAACTTTGCCCCGCCCACTTCCGCCCCCACAAAGGGCGAAAATCTGTGGCATCCACAATTTTGACGATACGAGAAAACTAAAAACGCAGAATCGTAGAAGATGACTATATCTTCTAGAATGCAAAATCTGAACCAGATCGTATAATTATTACAGCCAGAATCACGAAAACAATTTCACTCTTTCTCGCTCTGTCTCACTCTAACACACAGGTTTCATGGTCGGTTTTGCCAATTGCAAAATATGAGTTCAAGGATCTCAGAACCTATAAAAGCCAGAGCAACCAAATTTGGTATCCACACTCCTGTGATATCGGACCTTGACCGTTTCCTGTCCAAATTTCGCCACACCCCCTTCCGCCCCCGCAAAGGACGAAAATCTGAGGCAACCACAAATCTCAGAGACTATTAAGGCTAGAGTAACCAAATTTGGTACACACACTCCTTTAAGATGACACTATAAAACGTATATCTCAGAATTTCGCCCCACCCCCATCCGCCCCCACAAAGGACGAAAATCTGTTGCATCCACAATATTGCAGATTTGAGAAAACTAAAAGCGCAGAATCATAGATAATAACCATATCTATCAGGTTGCTGAATCTGGATCAGATCAGATCATTTTCATAGCCAAAAGGAGCAAATCAATTTGCACTGGCTACGCAGCGCCCGACGTCACGCTCAGACTGATTTTCTGTCTCTCTCGCACGCACTCTTTGTCGTGTCGTTAAATATTAGCGGCGTCTGCCGGAGGAGAGCCATACTGACTTAGTATCGGGTATAACCGTAGAGTTGCGGTGTCCGCAGCAACTCACAACGTTCCCCCTCGTTTTTCTTATAAGTTCCAGGGAAATAAAAATGTTAAGCCATAGTCAAGCCTATAGCTGACAATCTGTATATTTTTTTAATGAATTTTTATGATTATTTTATTGTACTTAGATATGGTATATAAGCAAACGTGGGGAGGAGCATTCTTCTCGGATTTCGAACTGAAGTATCATTCCATATCCAAAATTATTGCAAAGGGCCCCATTGTAGACATCTATAGACATGGCGAAAAGACACGCTTGGACTTCAAAGAAAAAGCTCTCAAAATTTGTTGAATAACACAACATACGGAATAAACTAGCGTCCAGAGTTGTAGAAACCAGTGAAGGTACAGACTCTAATGATGATTAAGAGGAATAAAGAATCTTTTTGTAAGGAAAACTTTGAGATACTCGTATCCGTGAATTTTATGTGGAGTATCATTTCCCAAAGTGCCAATTAAACATCTGACAATGATTTGCTAGACTGAAGATGAAAGATAATTCCTTGGATTACGAATAGAACAATAAAGAACAATCGCAACTAATAATTTTTGAATGAGCGTGTCTACATCTTTAAGGATCTGCGAGTACTCACTCGCATTGAAACTTTTCTCAGGATATGATATTCTATAACCAATAACGAATTCTGCCTAATGTTAATGGCGTCACAACCACTACCAATAGGGGCCATCTTCAGCCTTCACAGCCGTTCGGCCTTTACTAGTCAATTTTGAGCATCTGGCCGATCAGCAAGTCTTATTGGAATATTTTCAAGGTGACACAAAAACACCCATCAATTCTCTCTTAACAGATGTTATAATATCGAAATCTCTTTCAAGTACTCGCACATATCCGTACAATTATGTTGTTTGTATCTACCAATCGTTGGCGAATTCTCTGCAAATATTCGGGGAAAAAATGCAAAATTTGTTAGAAACAGCTGCGTAAATTTGCCAATAATCTTTGGATATGCGAAGCTTATAGAATCGAACGACTATAAAAGGCATGCCCTGGCAACATCCAACATATCCAACAATCACCAACGCACCATGAAAGTCAGCTCCAATATCTTCGCCTTGGCCATCGTCCTGTTCGCCTGCCTGCTGAGGAGCAGTGAGGCAGTCACCTGTACCGCCGATCCCACTGTAACAGGATGTATTGACTGTACCACCAGTCCCACCGATGCGGAGTGCGTGGCAGAAGCAGCGGCCGACACCACCTCTACTGTGGCTCCCGTAGTATCGACAACGGCAGCCACGGCGACTACAGTGGCAACAGACACGGCCACAACAACCACGGCGGCATCCACCACCAGCACGGGCGGGAGGCGCAAGGTCGTCAGGATCAGCAATCTGCGCTACACCGCAGTGCGTCGCATCCGTGTCAACAGAAGTGGCACCACCAGCCGTACCACCAGCCGCAACACCAACACCAACCGCAACCGCAACCTCAACCGAAGACGCGTCAACGTGAGGAATAGGCGCCGCAGCGGTAACGTCCGTGTGATTGTCGGCTAGACATAATATCCATATACATTCAGATAAAACCGATGGGCAATAAAATAGTTCAAACTTCAAAAAGAATTATCATAATCTTTAAGTCTATACGCTTGAGTCTTAGCTTAGAATGTGACGGTAGATTGAAATCCATATCTCGAAACTGGCTTTCAAGTAGACAATTTCTATATCTGTACATATGCACATGTATGCACCAAAAATGAGGCAAAAATATTGATTTCGTCGATCTAAAAGCATGCCCTGTGCTGATCGAAAAGTTTAAAAAAGATAAACGTTTTTTGGGATTTGCACGGCCGCACCCGTAGATACATACATACATACATACATATATCTGTGACTCTAGAATGTAAATTTTCATTTAGGTAATTCAAATTGTATTTCAACGCATTTTCCTTATCCTTATATTTTCTTGTAAAGTTCTCGAAAGTTGAAATGATCTCCCATTTACAAATAATAATGCCACGCCCCACTTGGGGGAGTATAACGGCTAAAATTATTAGCTTCGATTACTTCATTCCAAGAACATTTACCTATGTAGATACCACGCCATCTCCATTCTATGTGATTTTTACACGAACTCTACATGGAAATGGCGCCGAAAGCTATGCTATAAAAAATGACATTTTAAGATTGTTTCTGTAACAAAGTATCTCAGGCAGCAGATTAGGAGTTACGTTAAAATGTATATCATTTAATAACTTCTGGAAGGAATTAAGATATTTTCATGAAACAAACTTTTTTGAAAATCTTTCACCATGAAGTCTGCACCAGAACATATTCCTGTGATGTCTAAAGGTGGGGAGAACTTTTGTGTGGAGTGTGGATACCAAATTGTGTTGCTCTAGCTCTTATAGTCTCTGAGATCTAGGCGCTCACATTTTGCAATAGGCAAAGCCGACCATGAAACGTGTGTGTTAGAGAAGCTATGAAGGCGGGGCTAAGTTTTGAAATACACTTGTAGCAATGACAGATTACAGAAGTCTGGATACAAAATGTCGTTGCTCTAACTCTTATAGTCTCTGAGCACTAAGCGCTCATAGGGACGGACAGACAGACAGAGTATATCTCCTAAACCACATCTGATTTTCCTTAAGGTTCGACTTTCTCACTGTACAATTTTCTATCCGATGCTTATATCAAAATTTTCCACAGCTCCCACTCAGAAAATGACTTTTGCCACCTCTGTTCGGGTGATGTCCCACTGTGCGACGAAGGTTGCGACCCAGAAAAGATTCTTCGGCTTCACTTTCGAATCCGAAAAGATGCTGCCGTTCCTACGATAAAGTAAAGTTTTGGCAAGCCATAGTAATATAAATATTTCAACTTGGGTGGTATTTACCATCCATTTGTTAGCACAAGTGTGGGCCGTCTAGAAATAGAACAATAGAACCTAAAAGAGACTCGACTATAAAAGCCGTGGCCACAATAATCTGGACCATTATCCAAGTCAAATCACTTGAGCCGATACCAACAATGCGAGTACAAACGCTTCTCCTGGGCTGTGCCCTCCTGGTCGTCTGCCTCGTAAATCAAGGCAAGGCAACGACCGCACCGACTGTTGTCACCACCACTGAAGCAGACGCCACTGTTGTCACCACCACTGTGGCACCTTCCAGCGCGCCTACAACTGTAGCTTCTCCCGCTGCTGCAACAACCGTGGCCCCATCCAGCGACAACAGTCCTGCCACCACTGCTGCCAGCAGCAGCAGCACCAGCGGCGATAGCAGCAGCAGTAGCGGCAGCAGCAACAAAAATGCCGCCAAGAGGAGGAGGAGGAGGGCTGCAGCACGTCGTCGTCGGCGTCAGAGGGCAGAGAGGAGGAGAGCAGCCAGAAGGAGGGCGGCCAGGAGGAACAGCAGGAGAGGTTAGGATGGAGAAAGATCTCCTCCCGATCTCCATGTACCACAGGATGCAGATTCGGATTAAATAAACTGTCAGATCGCATACAACACGACGTGTTTATGGACCAGAGTCCATCTCAGAGGCTTTTAGTCCGAGTCAAGTCCGAGTAGAGATCTTTATAGATTTTGCGCCATACAGACTCATACTTTGCTCATTCTTTTATTGAATGAACACAACATATTTTACGAGTATCTATTAGATAATCTGATGATATGTCTACCAGGTGCGATCCAGCTCGGCTTCGTCGCCCTCACACTGGACCTTGATGTTGATGCCCTTGCCGGACTCCTCGAGCCATGGCTGCGACCAGATCTTGACGGTGCACTGCTTCTTGTCCGATCCATCGGACAGTTCAACCTTATAGGTGCGCAGAGTGCCAGAAACCACTTGAGAAGTCGCCGATATCAGATTAACCAGTCTAAAATACACAAATCATATAGTAAAAGTTTTTGTTCTGAGCCTGGGCTATACCCACTGGTAACTAGGTCCATCTCCGGTGGCCAGCTGGGATAGCGTGGTGCTCAATAGCTGCTCGGCCTCCTTTAGGTCAGCGCCCTCGAGGGTCCTAGGTCGACCGGCATACTAGGAACGATTCAAATCAATAGTGCAATCTGTACAGACAGAACATCAGTTCATGGACGTACGCCGGCAAAGGCAACAGCCAGGACAAGGCCCAGCACAAAGATCACTTTCAAAGCATGCATACTCGTTTTCCGCGGACAGAAGCCTCCACAATAAATTCGCCGAGTGTTGAGAGATTGCTTTTATAGCTCCAGAGAGCCACCTGATGCCTCCAGAGAACGAAGCTAGAATGATTCTATATTTTCCAGCGATAAACAGCTTTTGGCATACTGATGATCCCCCGAGTAAAATAAAGAGAGAGATGAAATTTTGTGTGCATTAAAAATATATTTAAATATATTTATTTGATACTTAATTTTGTTTGAAATCGTTTGAAATGTCGATTGGATTTTGATTTTTTTGACCAGGTCAGGAGTTCTGTCGGAGAACCGATTCATCAACAGACCGATGGCAGACAGAAACATTTCTTTCAATGTGTCTTTGTGTCAATAAAACAAAGCCATGCAGGCGAACAAAGGCAATATACATACATATGTATATAATACTTGTATGAGTCTATATATAGCGAGAGAAACCGCGGTTTGCTCAATGCCTGGAAATTTAGTAGTGCTGATTGCCGAAACTTTTTGCTTTCTAAAGTTCAGCTATTCATAATCAGGGGTTAAAGATTTACTCTTTCGCTGTGCTCTAGAAACATCTGCAATCACATATTCTTGTAGTTCCCTTGGGGCATTATATACTCCATATGTACAAATATTATCAACTGAAATTGACATTTATTCAACGACAAGCAACCTTTGGCAATTATCAACCAGAGATTGTGCTTGGGTTCATTTTTTTACTCAAGTCAATGCAAATAAATACATAATTTACATAAATAAAAATAATGACTGATTGTACGTAGGCGTACTTCCCCGTCCGCGTATTTCCGATACCTCGGAATATGGGAACGAGATAAGTAATGTTTATCAATAACGAAGTCCCCATGTCTACTGCTATCACCCTACCGCACTATTGCTAAATTACAATTTCTAATTGTAATGGATGGAAAAATACTATGCAACCAAATATAAATAATTGCCATTATCACTACGTCTGTAGTGCAAACAGAAGTCTATTCAAAATAGTAAATGACATAACACTGGAGAGAAGAACGCTACTCGCATATTGTGACTTTTGCTGATGCAGGCATCAGCTTTAAATACTCAAAAGCCGCGCCACACAGAAGTTGAGAGAAAAACAATAATAATAAAAAGAGCGAGAGAGGTCTGTCATAAAATACGATACGACAAACTGGTTTTCTATTTGAACTGGTTACTCTCTAATGAACTCACGCATTATTATGGATGATGAGCAAAGATGAATACATATATACAATAGACATCTCCGTGAATCAGGTCGAAGATGGGAGAACCTAGGTTCTGACTCAAATGAGAGGCAATAAAGGAATAGTTTCGGAATACCTTTATTTATTGTAATTGATTATCCAGTCTAGGGTAAAGGTATAGACTGGTTGGAATACACTTTCATCTACCAGGTGCGATCCAGCTCACCCTCATCGCCCTCGCACTTGATCTTGATGTTGGTACCGTTCTCCTTGAGCCATGGCTGGGTCCAGATCTTGACGGTGCAATCCTTCTTGTCCGATCCATTGTCCAATTCCACCTGGTACGTATAGAGAGTACCAGCAACAACTTGGCTCGTCACAGTGGTCACATTAACAGCTCTGAAAGCGGACAGATATTCTAGCTATGGAATTCAATTTAAGCCCATTTATCTCACTTGTAGGTGGGTCCATCTCCAGTTGCGAGCTGCGACAAGGTGGTGTCCAGCAGTGTAAGAGCCTGCTCTTTCCTCTCTCCGCTCAATTGTGTGTGGCCGCCGACAATAGGTGCCTCATCGGCTGAAGCCAAGGCACCAGAACCCACGACCATGAGTCCCAAGAGTGTAAGCATTTTCATTCCGTTCATATTTCAGATGTGTACAGCTCGACGGTTGAGAGAAAACTGATCGCTAAGTCGGCGAGCGTGCTCCAATTTATACCAGAGAGGGCCACATTTTTATTATTACTCGTGGGAGGGCACAATGGAGAAACTTTGCGGATAAAGAAAAACAGAACATTGGGTAAAGAGTTTCGCTACAGTGTCCCATGTGGGTTCTGAAATATCAGAGAACGCAAATAGTATATCCTAAGAAACTTATACCTCCCATATTTGATTTATTGGATATTATTTGTTTTTCTATAAGCGAGTAAGGTTTTTGTATACAAATACTATTCTAAACTGAGAAAATACTATACGCCTGATATTCCTGACCATTTCTCTTGAATACATATTTGGATATGGTTTTATGTTATCAATGTGCCAACATAAATAACGAAGGGTTCTTTCTCGTGAAGGTAAACGAACAGATAATATTGTTTTTCTTACAAACAAACAAATAATTGATTATTGAGGTATAGTAAAGGTGCTGAAGAGCTATAATACATACATATGTATGTATATACCAAAAAACAAGAACAAAAAATGTTGTCAATACTCTTTAATTAGTTAGGAGTCAGGCTAGGTCGATCCATAAAAACCGAATTCTCTTCGAATATTTATCAATCTAGAATGAACCGAAATCCAGGTACAAGCGCCATAAAAACGCCATGAACACCCATAAAACATCTGGCTTGAGGAAATGGATGGGATAATCCTCACACCTAATGATTTCTGAGAAACATCGTAAAACAGGTCGAGAGAACTGATACCATTCAAATGAGTGACAACCTCGACTGTTCAAATAGTAATACTAGGGATTAATCGAACAATATCTTAATATTAAGAAGAAATTTTTGAGAGCAACGTGATTATCATTATAATTGTTGCCCTCGCACGACACATTGATTAAATCATCCATGGGTTCGATTTTCCGATTCGATCTCCCATTCCGCCTTGTATGTATAAGTCCCTAGGATTTAAGTTACTTGTGGCTGGGACCCTCTCCTGTAACCAATTGGGCCAGGCCCCCGTTTAAAATTGCAATGACCTTCTCAGTCGCCTCTCCGGGCAATAACTCAGGGATCCCTGTAAGATATAATACCTTTTATCGTCTAAGTCCTAGGGGAAATCAATAACTACAGCTTACGACCATCAGCCCCAACAAAGAGATGATTGTATTCCGTTCATGATGGATGAGAAAAGTTCAAAGTATGAGAAAAACTTATGAGGCTCTACCAGTTATCACCCTTTATAAAGCACATGTTCATTTGAAAGGGAGACTTCCATATCAATATATAATCTAGCATTTGCCCTATTAAATTAGCAGGAAATTGAAATACTGTGCATGTACTTTTTCAATATAGATCGGATAGGTCAACATCGGACTTAAGGGAAAAGCATCCATCTTATCGGAATAGGATTCAATTTCGTTGACCATATTATTGTAGATTATAATTTTAGTTCAGTTCTAATGACACATACTAGTATAGGCATACTCGTTTCTAGCTTCTAGGTTTCCAGGAACAATTAATTCACCCGTATTCCCATTAACTAGAGAGAATCTTATCATGAAATCTTACAAACATCAGAGGTTCTACTATTCAAAAACTTGAATGAGGAATCGATTTCCAACAACGTGAAACAAAAAACTTTTTAGGCAAATGAAAAGCCAATTATTTTATTAATATCCAGCATACCAATTCTTCAAAGCAAGGGTTGAGGTACAAACTTAAAAGTCTTATGGCCTAAGGAGTCTCTAAATTAGAGCAATGTTCAATTTAAATAACGCATAAGTCAACGATACAATCTATCGATGTGTCGGTCGGTTCTCGGTGGTACAACGATCTGAAGTAACCATCCGGATACCATCCAGCCCATTTGCAATTCATATTTTGGACAATCGATTTCAATGAATACAATACAATCCCTTTGGGAAATCAAAGATCTAGATCAAATAAATGGATTACAAGTTACAAGATATCAAAATAATCCGAGTGTTCCCGCTGATTGTCCCACGAAAAAGCAGTTTACTAAAGCGAAAAGAGAAGCTCATGTTGGGGGCAGGTTAGTAGTACAGAGGCCTAGATGTGGATGTGGACGTGGTCCAGCAGCTGCGCGCGGTCGTAGAAGATGGCCGAGCACATCTCGCATTCGAAGCTGCGCTTCTTGCGGTCCGATTTGCTGGCTGCGGCTGCCTTGGCTGCAGCATCGGCTGCGTCGGCGGCGGAAACCACCTCGGAAATGGAAAAGAAAGCAGAGCTCACATCGGCAGTGTTGGCGCTGGCAGGTACATTCACATTGTAGGAGTCCACGCCCACGCCGTAGCTGAGGTACGAGTGTTCGGAGCTTCTGGTCTTGCTCCCGGCTGCAACTGGCGAAGAGGAGGACGATGTGGTGGGCTTCTTGGCTGCCGCGCCGGATGCAGAGTCCGGCCTGCTGCTGCTGGAACGTTTGCTGCCCACTCGCGGGCTGTTGGCAGTTATCTGGCGCAGGTGACGCGAGGTACGGGCCGACGACGACGAGGAAGAGGGCGTGTTGCCAGTGGTAGCCGTGACGCGCTGCTGACTCTCCACCATTTCGCGTAAATCGGGGGATGTCGGCTCGATCTTGATGAGGTTCTGCTCCTCCCCGGGCAGAAACTGCGGCGTTGTCGATGACTCGCTGGTGAAACGCAGTCGGGAATTGTGCTCACTTTTAAGTGGAGAGCGCAGAATCTCCTCCAAATCATTGACTATTGCGGGGTTGAACCTCTCGTACGTCTTTTCACGGAGCAGTGCGGCATCGATGAGCAGATTGTCGTCGTACATCATCGGAACGCGCTGCTGTTCTTGCTCCTGCTTAATGTGCAGGGGACTGGAGCTGATCTGGTTGGGTGGATGCGTGGCTGGGGATATGATCTCATAGTCGTCGACCATGTTGGACGCAGTGGATCGCGACTTGCCGCTGCCGCTGCTGGAAAGCAGATCCAGATTGCTTGTCTCTGTCCGGGTAATGTAACTCTTGCCACGCGTCTTCTTGGTAGATCCGGATGCAGTGCCCGAGTTTTCTGCAGCCTTCGGAACCTTGGCCTTCTCGGTGTGGATCATTCGCGGCCGCGAGCTTCCCGCAGCAGCCGATTTGCTACTGGCCGCCTTACTTGTTCCCGCCTTCTTTCGGCTGCGGCTGCTGGAGCTCGCTGTCGTAGAGGAGGATGATGCACTGGGGTTTGCTTTTACCTCAACTGGTGGCGCCGTCTTGGCCTGCCCTTGGGCCTGTGACTGCTTTGAACTGCGTCTCGTGTTTTGAACGCTGGAGGAACTGGCGGTGCTGGTAGGCAGCGGTGATTGCTGTTGATTCATAGCCGTTAACGAATCAATTTGAAACAACGACACCTGGTTGTCGTGCAGGAACTTCTCCTCCCACATGCGATCCGAGTGACTGCTGGTGGAATCGTACCGCATTTTCGACTTATCCGTGACAGCCTTGGCTGTTCCATTGGCCACCGCCTGCGGATCCTTGGATGCCCCCTTTTTGCGCTTCTCCTTTTTGGGGGATTCGGCCATTTCGAAGATTTGGTCCACGTTCTCCACATCAAAGTCGCAGATGTCTAAGTCACTGTTATACTCTTCGGCCTCTTGCAAGAGCTCATCTTCCTTGTTCTCGGCCCGCATGTGGGCAATCTCATGCGGCTGCAGCTTGCGCCGTCGTTTGTACTTCCGAGGCCCCGTCTGATGAATAATAAGGAACGAGTTTTTAAAGAGGAGATCCACATGAAGGATGGTATACTCACGACGGGCTGACGCTGTTTGGCGGTGTTCGTGTCGCTGTGCTTGATAAGATGCTGGATGAGCTCACTGGACGAGGACAAGTCCTCGGAGCACACTTCGCAGTGGTAAGTGCCAAGCGTTACATCCATACCGGAGTGATGGGAGCGAATGTGCTCGCGGAGCACCACTCGCTGGTTAAAGGCACGCGGACATACGGAGCAGGCGTAGGGTTTCTCGCCCGTGTGGATGCGCTCGTGTTTGCGCAAAGTGCCGCCGTCGGCAAAGGCCTTCCAGCAGTAGCGACAGCCGTACGGACGCTCGCCCGTGTGGATGCGTACGTGAATCTGCTGAGAGCTGCGCGAACCGAAGGTCTTGCCACACTCCAGGCACGGGAAGAGTTTGCCCGGCGAGGTGGTGCTGTGGGAGTGGCGGTGATTGGATAGCGTCCGTCCGTCGGGGAATTCCTCCTGACAGACCTCACACACCACCGACTTGTCCCGATGCGAGGCCATGTGACGCTTCAGACGCGCCTTGTTATGGAAGTTCTTGCCGCACTTGGAGCACGAGTGGCACTTCTCCCTCGAGTGGTCCCAGGCATGCTTGATGAGAGCCTTCCGATCGCGACACTCCTTTCCACACAGCACACACGAGTTGGCCTTCAGCTCGTTCGGATGACGACTGTGCAAGTGCCGCTTGATGGCCTGCTCTTCATAGAAGCTAACACCGCACAAGACGCACCTAAAAACAAGTACAGAAATGGTGAGAAAACCACTTTATAGTATAGTTCATGTTGCAATGTCGATTTACTCACTTGAAGAGCGGAAAACGGGCGTGGATTTCGGCATGGGCGCTCAACGCAACTGAATTGGGAAAACACTTGCCGCACGTGTGACACCGGTGGGCAGCATCATCTTTGGCATTTTCAGCATCTCCAGCTATCACTTCGTCGGTGACTCCCACTTCTCCCACAATCGGCTTTTGGTCAAAGTTACTTGCGTCTGGCTGCTGGAAATGGCACTTCGCATGGCGTCGCAGCAGGTCCTGCCTGTGAAAGCAAATGCCGCATTCGCTGCAGTAAAAGTCGCCATAGAGCTGATCCGGTTCCGACTCGCTGACACTGTCGTCGCCCGATGCCGGATCGTACTCAGAGTTGCTCTCCTCGAACTGATGCGTCTTCTGATGCTCCAGCAAGCTGCTGTTATCCCAGAACATCTCCTGACACTGGTTGCACTCGAAGGGCGAGTCCACGCGATGGTTCTGGTGGTTGGTACAAGAAAAAGGGAAGATAAAACTGGTTTCTTGGGAACATACATCTCAGGTAGGTAGCGCACCAAACTCTTACCTTCGTGTGAGAGAAGAGCGCCTTCTCCCTGGCAAAGGCCAAGCCGCACTGCTGACACACGAACGGCTTGCTGTCGTCCAGCACTGGATAGTTCGGCTGGGGAAGGTCAGCTTTAGGTGGGGGCTCGATCGCTGTCGAGGTAGTGACCACCGCCTGCATTGGCTCGCTTTGCATATAGTCCTGCATCTCGGGTGCTTCCGTTTTGTCGGAAATCGCAATGTACTGTGTGGCTTCCTCCTTTGGCTTCAGGCGACTGATCCGTCCTCGCGTCGGCACTGGAGCATCGACGGTAACTGCGGCAACATTGTAGCTATTCTGGTGCACAAGTTGAGTTTCGCTGCTGGACACCAACTGCTGCTGGTCCTCGGCGTCCTGATCCTGCTGGTATAAAGGCCACTCGTGCTCATAGTAATGATCGTCCATTGGGCGGTGCTCGAATTTAATGGATGTGGCCGCAGCTGCCTCGGCATCCGCTGCATCCTGAGCTTCCGCGTGCGCCTTGAAATGACTGATGAGCTCGGCGCGGCGAGAGAAGCGTGACCCGCACAGCTTGCAAAGATGAGGACGATCGTTTTGGTGGGCCAGCATGTGGGTGTTCAGGCTGGACTTCTTCTTAAAGCGGCGGCTGCAAAAGTCACAGGGATATGGTCGTAGGGCCGTGTACTCGTCCTGCTCCATGTCCAGCAGCTCTTGCGAGCTTCCATTTCCAGCTATTTGCTCCGCGGCTATTTCCACACTGAAAATAATCATTGATTCAATCCGATACGTTCAAGCAATCCGTGCTTTACTCACCGCTCGGCTCCCTGATGCTGCACCCAGTCGTCCGTGATGACCTCCTCGGTCACCACCTGGGCGTCATCGTCAAAGGAATCGGCGTACGTCACGCCGTGGCCATCGGCAGTGACTATCACAGCGTTTCCGCCAGCTATGATCTCACTCAGCTGGCCGTCGCGGGCCATAAATATGAGATTCTCGGCCGCCATATGGTCAAGATCCTCGCCCGTCGCTTCATCGGTCACGAGATGATACCCGTCCGGCGTCACACCGTCCCCCACCAGTATGTCCACCCCGGAGTCGGATGCGGCGGGGTGTTGCTGTATCCATTGGATGCCGCCATAGTTCTGGTGGTTCATTACTCAGTTGCCCTGCAAGACAGTTTGTTGCTAATTCTCACGCACATAAACAAAAGCATACGAAAATTTCTCCTCAAAACTCGGGGAGGGAGCAACAATTGGTGTGGCTGGCACATGTGCTCAAGAAGAAGACCGTGGGAGACAGAGAGAGCAAAAACCGGGCGTTGCCAGACAGTTGGTGGCCATACATTTAATAACAAAAATAAACCCAAAACAAACTCAATGGCACGATAAATTCAAACTAACGTACACTGTATTATTAGTTTCATTGAATTTTCAAGTTTTTAGCCACTTTAATGGTATTTTGTATTCGTTTTTTTCTGCGCAGTTTAACGGCAACGCCTTGACTGTTTCCAGCAGTGCTGACAGCAAAGCCGCAAACTAAACAAATTTTATTCACTTGGCCCCTGTGCTTATAATAACCATGTCAACCTTAATAATACGATATGTTGACTTGTTAGATTGAAGTAAAGTTTTAAAAAATTGTCGCATTTGAATAATCTAACCGTTTTATGGCAAATACTTCGCAACTGACTTCCAACCAACGCGCACACTAGCCGTCCCGCTCACACACATGGCGTCAGCAGACCTGGCCAGCTATGATCCACGGCCCACATAAGAAATATTCCAACTTATAAACCAATTTGGATATAAATGAGGTTAAGTCGGCGTTTTATTTATATTCCAGACTGTTGCACATAACCTCAAGCTCGGCGTAAACATAAACAAACCCTCGAGCAGTGCACTTTCTCATTGTCATCAAAAAACCGACCGCTTTCTATCGCCATCATGGCCCCGCCGCGGTTACATCACAAGTCACACGCCCGAAATTCTTCCACACTCCGGATTGAGTATTTAATTTTCTGTTTTTGGTTAAGGTTGTCCGTGTCTTTTTGAGGTTAAATATGTATCAGGTCAACCAGGCACCGTAGATGCAATTTATTACCTTTAATCGGAATTTCATGCAGTTCGCATAATTTTATGTTTCCGTTTTTAAATGTGCCGAAAAGTTTTCTCGCAAAATACCCACGAACGACCGGAGAAAGAAGAATTGCCATTTTTGTTCTGTCACTGCCGTTTTGAACTTAACCCACTCAGCCCCCTCTATTTCAACAGGTTAAGAGCTTGAATATAACCGCTGAAAATATTACTAATTTAGACTCTTCTTGTAGATCCGTGCCATCTTTTCTCTGAGCAAAAAAAAAACGATATCTTTCACCTGAAATGCGCTAAAATTATTAAATTTTCACTTTTTCGGTTGAATATTAAAATACCGTCTTGGTCTACAATGGGTTAATCGGTCTCCGTCAAGGATTGGAAATACATTAATTTTGTACAAGATTAGCTAGTTTTTAAATATTTTATAAAATAATTATATAATATATTATAATATAATATAATAATATATTTATAAATATATAAATAAGTTTTAAGCAAAGTCAAAGCACAAAACGCAAGTGGTACGGAATGAGACGTAGTATGTCTGAAATGTTACGTCATTGCTGCTGGTCAACAGGTATCCCCTAGGAGTATGGATATCTTTATACCCTATTTCATTTAATGAAACATTAGCTATAACTTCTTCTCTGATTTGTTTTCGGTATATATATCCTGTATTCCCTCATTCCAATTCTTGGACTCTATATAAAGACAATAAAGCGAAAAATTTCGTTTTGATAGCTCTACAACAAAGCCTTGTTTGTTTATCCATATATTGAAGCCAGATGACAAACATTTCGTCAATTCTATAATATACATATCCCTAGGGTATGCAGAGTGTTGCAAGGATATGAATGCCTATTTAAAATATACCTACAACTCGATTTCGACCATAAAATACATATATATAAAAGTATGTAATATACCGTAAATGGTACCCCAGGTTTTTTTATTAACGGAATGCAACGGCATTCAGAGGTTTGGTCAAACGGCTGAACCTTATCCGTTTATCTATTGATTTTTGTATCAAGAAGAAAGCACAAGAAATTACATTTTTCGACTGTTTCCAGGTTTAATTCAAAACCTTTTAAAAATATACAAAAATTATCAATTTGGAATTTAAAAGATTAATATTGTCCAGACCGTAAGTCTTACCTACAAAGTGCTTGGGTCTGATTTATAGCTTCATTTATCAGCTTTCCATGATTACAAATCTTATATATATACATATATACATATATCAGATATACCCGCGATTTTTAATTCTACTTGCACAGGATTGTATTGCAAACAATTATCAGTATATTTGTGAGATTAATGGAATTTGAATTTGACGATTTGTTTACATCCGATTTTGCGATTTTTTATGTAAAATAGTTTAATATTTATATAATTAGATTGTAGAAATTGCGAGGAAATTGGAAATCAGCTGCAAAATGTTTATAGACAATTAAAATCTTACAAAAAAGTCGTTATTTCATATATTACCTATTATATTGACAATAAATAAAAGTCCCCTCGAGAAAATCGCTACATGATAAATTCTATTTGGTGGAGGCCTATAACTTATGTACGTATATTTGTTAAACGACTTTTGTTTTTTTTTCTGAACATCTGTGAGTACTGTTTGCCTATGAATCTTAATTGTTTGCTGGTTAAACATTCCGTTCCAAAAGTCAGTCAACAATTCGATAGACGTCTATTGCCAATTCCATCCACGCAAAAAATCCAACTGATAAAACAAACCCAAATTTCGCCATTTCTAGATCTGTATAAATATGGCTGATGATAAGCGAACATAATATTGCGAATTTAGCAACTGAATAATCAAGTTCAATTACCAAAATGCTGGCTACAAAGTATCTTTTCCTGATTGCCGCCTTCTTGTACTGCCTGGGTGGCGCTCTAGCTGTGACCTGTGATGAGGATCCCACGGATACGGCCTGTATTGACTGCACCACCGATCCCGACAACGCAGAATGTGCCACCACGACAACGACAACGACAACGACCACAACAACGACAACCACCACAGTGGCACCTGCGACGACGGCTGCCCCAACAGCCGCCCCACAAACCACCAAGAAAACGGGAAACGTGAAGAAAGTCACCATTAAGAATCTTAAATACAAAGTCACGCGGAAGATCAAGGTCACCAATAAGTCTGGTTGAACGAAAATTCATCTGAAAAGATAGTCCTATACAGCCAAAATAAATAAAAAAAACTAATTGAATTTACAATATATCTTTTAATGTGTTTTTTTTTTGCAACAATTTTAACAAATAATATATTCCCGACATGCATCAAAATTCGATTTTAATTTGAAACAACCAGATCAAGGAAGTCGAAGGATAACCCGTCAATTTTTTTTGAGATAGAATTATATGTTAAAAATGTTCGTAGCGGTTGAGGCTCACGGTTGCCAAAATTGGTGATTGTTTTCTTGTTGGTTCGTGTGAGTGCGATCAGATGGAGAACTTATGGAATTAGAAGGCGGTGTGAGTGAGAGAATTATATGAATATATAAACCATAAATTACTAAAGATAATCATTTGGTCGATTTTTTAATGAATTTGGGGATTTCTTTTCTTCTTGTCACATGGTCACCGTTCTGAGGCCAGCGATTAAAAGATCTGAACAGTTCGATGCAGGTAATATTTCAATTTAAAGAATACGAGTATCTTTCTGAAACTGAGCACAACTGAGTCTTTTTTCCTACGTGTTTGCAAATGGAGTAGAAGAATATCAGTAGGATGTGATTTCTCGATGGAACATTTTTAATTTTTCGATATATCAATAGAGGATACAAGAGTGTAATCTTTTGTGAATCAGAGCAGAATCAGACCATATTTTAAACTCAAGCTGCAGGGCTGAAATCTAGAATTATTTTCATTCAAATAACCAGAAATTGAATGGATGTTTGTATTATTACTACCAGAAAGTTCTGCAAAGAAAACCTATACATTTTTCTGAATTATCCATTCAAGACTTGTTTATTTATTTTATTCTATCAACTATAGGAGTATATTTGCCAAATAAACACAGGTTTTGGCTAATTAAACATCCCAAAGCTTGGGATCACCATCTATTGGCAAATACAAAACCAATAGAGTCTTTTTCCAGCGTCAAGGACGCTCAAAAGACCGTATAAATACAGCGGCATCTAAGTTGAAAAGATATTGCAAATCAGCCAGTTTGATAAAGAAGTTAAACTACTACCAGAATGCAGCTAACAAAGTATCTTGTTCTGATCTTTGCCATTTTCTATTGCCTGACGGGAACCAAAGCCGTCACCTGTGATGATAGTCCCGATGATCCTAACTGCATTGATTGTGACGCCGATCCCGACAACGCAGAATGTCTCATCACGATCACCACAACCACTGAGGTGGTAACCACAACAACCGCCGCGGCTCCGGCGACAACCACAAGGAGAGCACTGGGACTGAGTGCCAAGAAGCAGCTCATTGTAAACAAACTAAATTTAATACTTAACCGAAAAAGAAACTTCCTGAGATCACTGTCAGGCTGATGTTTCGTGGTCCTCCAATAAAGACTCAAAAACGAACAGAAAAGTTAGTAGTATTAAAGCAAAGCAATTTATGACTTCAATCTAATAACCCTTTTTTGAAAGAAATATAAGCTTTGGCTAATTCAAATGTGTTGCAAACTCTGGGATTTAAGCAAGAACTCGCTATCACATTAATTGGACTAATTGTGGTACTGATCCCAACCAGGCATTGCACATGCCTGGGTTTCTGGCTGCAATCAATGCAGTCCGGATCCTCGGGCTCCACATCACACCTGATTGCGCAAACGGCATCCAGGAAATAGAATATGGCCAGAAATTGTACCATGAACTTCAGAGAAACCATATTGTTCATTCACTCTTTGATGACTGGAGGAATATGACTGCGGCAAGTCACGGGCTAACCATATATGAAAGTTTGTTCAGCTGTATTGCGTGAAAAATCTGCGTTTCAAATCAGAATCGGAATTAGAAGAAATAGAATGTATTAATATTTTAATCAAACCATAGGAATTACAATTTCTCATGGATTCATGTGTATCAGAGGAGTATAGCAATTATTTATCATCTATGAGTGAGAATAACTATTTTCGTCCCAAACATACTATTTGGATCAATTATTTTTATATTCACCTCAAAATGTAAGTGAAAATATATCCTTTTTAATATTACCACTCTCGGGCGATTTGTAGTGGCATAAATTATTAATCTGTCGAAAAGCTACTTATGGATTTACATACTAATAGAAAGAATATAGTATCATATAGTAGCTCCCATGAATCGATCTGCAAGAGTATCAAAAAGCTTCTGGCCGGAAAGCTATCATTTCTTTCTCCTTCTCTCATTGCTCTTCTTTTGGCGCTTCGCTCTCTTCAATGTTCGAACGAAAGAGCAAATACATATGTACATACATAAATGCAAACGAGCTCCAAAGCGCCAAACTTTTTTCCACCCGCGGGGGAGCAATGTTTTTCGTTGCTGCTCTGCTTTTATTTTTATGGCTCTGCGCTCTGCTCTCTGCACACATCGATCGAGGCAGTGCGAGCGAGCCACTATTTAATTTTCGTTTTGTCGTGGAACGGGTACGGAACGGTCCGATATACTTGTACCGTACAAAGCGCGGAAAAGTCGAGTAAAAGCGTTCGTGACTGAATTTTTGTATTTATTTACCGTTGCCTTAGGGGCTTCACTGTGTTCGTGTGTGCTGGTATTCGTGTGTGCCCGTGTGTGTGTGTATGTTTGTGTTTTGGTGCTCTTCTCCTTTGTTGGGGCCAAAAGAAAGCAATCAACATTTAGAGCCAAAACGGTGCCGCCTGACGGGAAAACAAACAATATTTTTGGCCAAAAAGAGCTCAACGCGGAATTAGTGATAATAGTGCGCCATCTAGCGGTCAGAGTAGGTAAGTAGGATAAAATCGGAATTCCATTGGGAATGGTCTACAAATCTGTAAAGAAAAACCAGCTCCGAAGGTACGAAACTTGTGATACCCTTGCGAAGCGATTGCGCCTATGATGGGCATAAGATTTAGTCCTCCAATTTTGAGAATTAAAAACAAAAACTTTGGAAGCACATAACACAAGAGCTTCTGGAGTTTTTATTGGAATACCTTAAGGAACAAACTCACTTTTCGCACAAAGATCGATGCTTTCTAGAGGACTCTTGGAGATATAAATATGTATGTGTGTATTTTTGGCTCTTGAAAAAACATTCCATCAATCTTTTCAATTGGAACTATGCGTTATAGGGATCTGATTTTGAAAACCTTCTTCCCTCAAAAGCCTTATACTCTTCAGGGTAAACAAAAAAAGTAACCGCCATCCTTTTGACAGGCGGCGACGACATAAAATGTCAAACTGTCGATCAACATCAAGGCGAAAATATGCAAGATGCGTGTCTCAAATGCTAAGAGGGTCGACTGCTGCCCACACGAACTCACACACACAGATGCACAAATGGCTGCCATTTATGCAATCCCCCAAGCTCCTGTCCCTCTTCCCGCCCAGTGCCTTCCCTTTTGCCGCGCTTAATCTCAACGATGATCTCTGAGTTTTGCATGCCTTCCCGTTCCCGTTCCCATTCCCATTCCCATTCCGTGCCTGCCTGCTGATCTCTTCTGGAATGCGTTTAATTCGAATTTGAATTTCATCGTTTTATTCTACTCTTCTTGTTCTTCCCCTTTGCGCTTCTTCTGTTTTGCTCCTCTCTGATTCGCTTGTTTTTACAACGCAAAACACTTGTTAAACGCGAATTCGCACTCTCTCTCTCTCTCTCTCTCTCTCTGTCTTTATCTGTTTGTGTTTGGTGGGGAAGAAATCAAAGTTAAAGCAAACACTTAATTAATATTCCACACACTCCCTCAGAAACTCACATGGAATACCACGAACAATGTGCTTTTTGTTGCTCCGATCTATCCGTAATTGTTGTTGCACAGATTTCATTTCATTTTCCATTTGTCATTTTGTGTTTTGGTATCGATCGCGAGTGTTATTGGCTTTTGGCGCTGGGCACGGGCCAGGATCATATTGGATGTTTATAGAAGTGCCTCTGCCTCCAGACTGGAATCCTCGTAGTCCATCATCTCACGTTGTAAGATTCGGTTCGTGAATAATTCTAAACTATTTTTAGATGGAATTTATGCAAAATCGAAAAGAATTTTTACGGTTTATATGTGACTGGAAATTTAAGAACACTCGTATGTGGATTTATTGAAGTCGTGTGTCTATAGGGGTTTTATTTGCTGAAAGTGTTGAAAGATTGCTTTGGAGGAGGGAATTAGGAGGAAGGAATGCCAGGGAGTGCTTGTCTATCCTTCTATCAATTGATACAACTCAAAATCAATCTATCATTAAATCTATTGAAGAGTATACGTCCAATCCAATCAATCTTTCTGTCACATACTTTACCAACCAAAAACCCAATAAAAGATTGGTGCTTTCTTCAACATTCTTTATCCCCAAATTCCTGTCTTCCTCTTCACCATTTGTTGGGGAATCGAAACCGAGAAAATTCCATTAATTTGCCAATTCACAAAAACCTGATGAACACATGCCAAGACCCACCATCAGCCTCATCACAGACAGATGTTTCATGTGTTGCAGAAGTGCAGACAAAGTGAAAATAGTGGGGCCTTCGCCCACCCGAATGCAAATGCAAATGCAAATGAAGATGCAACAGGTTGCTCGTGATGGGGCGACGACAGACATCTGACAAACGGCAAACAATTGAACTCAATTTTAATTGTTGGCCATATTCATTGTTGAAATATCGTTGTAGTTGTGGTTATGGTTGTAGGGCCTATAAAATTCATCAATTTAACGATCTCATCGAGGTCTTTATGCGCTTGTCAAACAACTTTGTGCTTATGCAGGGGTACTCGGGCTGTAAGTAACCGAAAACCGAAGCTCGTAAAACGTGCGTGGCAGTGGCAGGCACAGGCAGCGCCACTGTGTCGCTGCTTTTGATGGTGGTTCGTTGGTGGTGCACCCACATAGTACAATACTTTTTGGCACAAGTTCGTTCGCTTGGCTGATCGCGATAAGCGGAAAACCGAATAAAATGAAAGACTTGACACAAATGTCAAAAAAGAAGACGGGGCAGCGCATCGAACATTGCGAACACGAGAAATGTCAGAGTGAAGTCCA